TCTAAACTGTCCTCCACATCATTCCTTAGAATCACAATCAGGTTTATAGCCTTAGTACGTTTACAGCGTAAACATGGTTAAGGGACAAAGCTAACAGAGTGATTTGCAAAAGCACACATCTAAGTTACAGGACATCCTGTATGTATAAAAACGTAGGAGGGTGTAACCTTGAAAACATGACAGTGGTAATGCGTGTGAACTGCCTGACCAGTTTGTAATCCAGCTGCCTCATACATTGTGTATATGTGGTCAGCATCTGTCTTTTACAGGGAGGCAGGATAACAGACTCATATAGAGATGTCGAGATAGCTGTTAGCAGCTGATTAACACATTCTAAACACACAGCATTGAAAGTTGGCCCCTCCCTCCCGGCTTCGCCAGCAAGCACGAGAGAGGAGTGAGAGGTGGTAGAGCGAGCTTCAGTGTGAATAAAAGAGGGAGCCACCTCATCAAGAACATAACAATGATGCAGAGGAATAAAATGTTCATCTGGGATTGTTTCACACCACCTATGTTCTACAGCACATATAACGCAAGGTGTGTGTCCTTGCGTGTCTGTGTGTGTGTCCACTCCTTTGACATCACTACATTTACACACACAGTCACACATTAATGGAAGACTGCAAACTGCTCATCCTTCAATTGAATGCTCATTCACACACACACACAAACACACACACACACACACGACGCGCAGCACGCACGCACGCACGCACGCACGCACGCACGCACACACACACACACACACACACACACACACACACACACACACACACACACACACACACACACAAGTGCACATATAGCTGCATGGGAATATCTATCTACTGTATCTACATTGCTATACATTGCCATCTTATGCAACCTTACTCTATTTCTGTCCCTCCCTTCTTTCCTTTTCATGCTGTGGGAGAAGCAGGAGGTTGGTCTCTGCCTGTACGATACACAACCCGCAGTTACAATCTGTCTATCCTGCTATTTAGTTACTTATTTCTTTCTCCATGTCGGGGAAGATACACTCAAAGTTTTTCTGTGTATTTTAATCTGCATCCTTTCATTTTAACCTGCAAAGACTGCATTTCCTTATTTGTTCAAGTGTATGGTTTTGTTTACTGTATACTGTGTGTTATTAATTTAGCCGTCACAAGTTAGATTGATGATGCACAGCAAAGAGCATGGGGTTTCTACGGCTACTTGTTGAATGGCTTTAGCATTGAATGCAACTACTTTGTATGAAACACTGCAAGAAGGTTTGAAATTGTCAATATCATGCACACACAATGCTGGTATTAATGACCTTTTATGTCATTAATAGGACTTCTTCACGGAATCTCTCAGTTATTGATTGATGGTATGAGTTATGGTCAGCTGGTTTTGGTTGGTTAATATTTCAGACAACAGAGTGGATTTGCCTCATTGAATGCTATATGCACGTCTGTCAACGTCCTTTGACAGAATCAATATTTCATCAATATATTTCTCCCTTGAGTTAATTTCTGGGGGGTTCACGTGTTGTTTTCTGGTATTTCAGGGAATCACATTCGATGAGTTCAGATCATTCTTCCAGTTTCTCAACAACCTCGAGGACTTTGCCATTGCCATGCAGATGTACAATTTTGCTTCTCGCTCCATTGGACAAGGTAGGAAGTGCTGCAGGCTACAGGCACCGAGGGTCTCTGCTTACACAGACAGATGGTAGGTTCCTGGTGTACAACAAGTGGCCGAATTAATCAGAATAGTTTTTCCTCTCTCTTCTACCAGATGAGTTTGCAAGAGCGGTGTATGTGGCCACTGGGCTGAAGCTGACACGTCACCTCGTACACACCATCTTCAAGATCTTTGACGTGGATCACGACGACCAGCTCTCCTACAAGGAGTTCATTGGAATAATGAAGGACCGGCTGCACAGGGGAGCCAGGGTGAGAAAAGAAACAATAAGTGTTGCAGTGGAGAAAAAGCACTTTCAGACTAACTACTCAGCCTAAAATGATAGATCTATGGGCCAAATATAATTCACAGCAAGGACAATAAGATGACATGACACCTTCTTGTCATAGGCTTACACATTTAAAAAGAAAATGTGAACAATGGCAAATAATTAGAACAGGGAAACGATCAGCATTAAGGTAGCAATCTAACAGTTGTTTTTGTAAAGGGGGCTTTGTTTGTTCGAGTTGTAGAGTAATTGCTATAACTACCAGACCCCCTGCTGTTTAAAAGGTTGTTCATTGTAAATGGTTTTAAAACAACACTGGCCATTATCGCCCTGCTGCCCCTGCAAATGAACTCCAATAACTACAGGAAACAAATCGTGCAGCCAGAGTAACAAAAACAACCCTTTAAAAATAATCATAGGTGTAAAACTACACGGAATACTATAAACCCATAAATACATTTTGATTATGAGCTTTCATTAAAGACTAAGAACAGGAATGCAGGAACATACACATATTGACATGCCTTTTCTCAGAGGGTTATATCTTGGCCATACAGGGTTTACAGCTCTTAGGAAGAAGCTGCTAACAACATCACTGAATTACATGAAGCGATAAAAAACTGAACTGGAAATCACCTCGAGCTACTTCACAGTGTTCTTCCAGAGGAGAGATACTGCCCTCTAGTGGGGAATTGTGATACAACACTACACTCAAGAGCTTAATTTACAACAGAAGTTAAATACATACATTAGATGTAAGGTTGTTACAAGCTTCAAATATGCTCAAAGCAGCACTTACATTCACAGCAGTGGACCTATAAGTTATGGGATGCTTTGAATGCTGTCTGTCTTGGCCTCACAGTCTTGGCTCATTAACAGTTTTCTGTCTTTCTTTGCTTTGCTTACATCTTTTCTCTTTCTGCCACACTCATCTGCCAAACTCTCCCTCCTCTCACAAATCTGTTCTCTGCCTCTTTTATTCCCCATCCTTCTCTTCAACTTGTTTCCTCTGCTATGACGTCCTATCTACTGACCTCTTAGGGATATAAATCATTGGAGCGCGCCGTCTCCTTTAAATCCTGTCTGAAGAGGGAGCTTGCAGGCAGATAAGTACCAGCATTAACAACATAAAGTTAGAATAAGTTCCTGATCTTCATTGTTCTCATCATTTGAATTTGATGTCTAGAGTTTGAGTAATCTTTTCAAAAACATATCCTTACATATTTGAAAGTGACAACCAAATCAGCTACAATAAGCATTTGACCTGAAATATGACTTATCAATAGTAATATGGCTTTAAAACTCACATGTTCAACCTTCACCTTGATTGTGCCTGTTTCTACTGTAATGCAATTTTGAGTTAAGTCAGATACTAACAACTTAATTACAGTCAAATGTTCTGTTACATGCTAAATGTGTTTTTCGCCTTGCTAGCTTTGTCTCTCTTTGAAACCTTGTTAAGAAATACATGCCATGTGTACATTTCGTCACTTTAACCATAACTTGTACTTCCAAAACTGGCACATTTTCAAGGTGAAGTTGAAACAGTGAGTTCCTCAGTGTCTTCTGTTTGGAGAATCCAGAAAGTGCACACAGTTCAAAAGTATCTGCAAAGTATTTTTTGAATTTTCGAAGACATTTTTCCTCAAACAAACAGTATGAGATTTTTATGTAAATGTGATTTGAATGTAGTCGTCACTGTAGCAATAGCATAACTCACAGTTACTTTAGAAGAACTAACTTCTGGCTCCCAGCGTGACAGTGCCTCTCTCTGCTCGGTGTTTACCAGGTGAAGGGCCGACACCACTCCTCCTTCTCCGGCTGTGTCCGCTCTGGAGCCAGGAGACAAGTGAAGCAGCTCTGGAGGAAGTACAAGGAGAAGATGTAGAGGAGGAAGATGAGAAAAGATGAAGAAGTCATTCTGAAATGGAATAAGTCAAATGCATCTCTTATCTAGTGGCTTGACTCCACAACACTGTTAATAAGACAGATCTCCATTGTACCTCAAACACAGATAACAACTACGAGCATGCCTGAACCCAGCCGACTGACATCACTACCATTTACCTCTGGTTTTACCAGTCATTCCAGTTGATCTGATTCCAAATATAATTTATAGTGTAGTTTTTACTTTCCGAGCACCTCTACAAGTTAGTAGAGCTGCAACCAATGATTATTTATATTTTCTATACATTTAAAAAAAAGCTATGAAAACTGTTGTTTTACTTAGCTTACTGATTCTGGATGGACAATATTACAAATTATGTTTAACAATATCATATAGATATTACTGAGCAAGATACACATTTTTTTAAGTTTTACCAACCTTTATAATGTTTTCACTTAATGGATGAGCTTTTTTAATTACCAATTAAATGTGTAATATATTCCTTTTAAAGTAAGAAAGAACACTGCACTACAAGCTATAGCAACTGAAAGAGCACAACATTAATAAATAAAACACTGAAATTAGAGAATTAAGTGAAGTTATAGTTCATATTTATTGTCTTTTCTTATTTGTATCTATTTCAGTCTCGCTTACATTTAGTTTGATCACATCTATTAAAGCCAGTATAGTTGGTTATGGCTAGAAAGGATCCGTCTTGTGTAAAACTCTCGCGAGAGTTTGGCTGAATGTCACGTGGCTGAATGTTTACGTTTGGCAGGCAGCCTTTCAGTTACGATCGTTAACATCAGTGGGCCACAGCAAATGATGAGGAGAAGCTAAACTATCTATTAATTATGTCAATTACAGGGAGTGTGATTGTTGAAATCGGGTGTTAGCGGACTTGCTGGTGTTCAAAGAAGAATGACAACAGATCACCAACACTATGGTTTATTTTTTATTCACAGGCAAGCCAACGTTTTCGCAGTAAAAGTCCCAAGATAGCTCCTGGTGCAATAAAATGTTCCCTTGCAGTGTTTTACTATTATGTCTGATGTTTCTCTATTAATATTGCTGCTGCATTAATGTGTATGTTGCATGTTACTGCTGTAGATGTGTTTCCGAGCCGCTCCGATTACAGCGAGAGTTACAACGAGAACGTGACGTCATATTTACACTAGACGGATCCTTTCTAGCCATAACCCTATAGGAGCTACAAC